TATCGTAATGATAAACGACGACAGAAAGGATAGCGAGCTTCCTACTCATCTTTTTCGCCATGAATGAATCGGTAGTCAGATGTTATGAATCATATATCAATGATAGGCATACATCATTGCACTTCCACTAGACACCTATTGTAGTGATAAACGGCTACAGAAAGGATAGCGAATTTCCTACTCTTTTTTCCGCCATGAGTGAATCGGTAGTCATGTTATAAATCACATATCAATGATAGGCATGCATCATTGCACTTCCATTTTGACACCTATCATGATGATAAACGGCTATAGAAAGGACATCAAGTTTCCTACTCTTCGTTTCCACTATGAGTGAATCGGCAGTCAGATGTTATGAATGACATATCAATGATAGGCACACATCATTGCACTTTCACTTGGCACCTATCATAATGATGAACGGCTTGTCTCGCTGTGAACTTCTCTTGAGTTCTCAAACATAAGTTCCGAGTACCAGAATTCTAGTGAGGGAAAGAGGGAGCGAGGGAGTGTAAGATTTGTGAAATATATCACATAATCATATAAAGTCATGTGGCAGTCTCAAAACTATAACGTTTAAGTGTCCAGTCGCTAGACCTAATCATATCAAAACAATGTCCTGTTAGTTACTTAACTAAGGCATAATTACCACTCACTTTAATCTATAGGGCATGACTCAATCAAATCAAATGTCAAAACCTCCACGTGTTCAAATCATTACCATCAATGCAAATCCTCTCTAATTTTGTTCACTTCTTATGTAGGTAGTGTTATTCACACACCAATTTTTACCTTCCATGCACCCTTGTTAATTTTTTGTTGATTGATCTTCTTCAACTCATTTGATCTGACGATTAGAAATTAAGAAGAGTGTGAGAAATAAAAATGGACGTGTAGATAACACCATCTTATATATCTACTTTTTTCCCATTTTTTTCTTTCTTTTCCCCTTCCCAAATTGGATAGGTCTAGGGGTTTTGAAGTTTGAACACCAACAAAAGCAAAAATTATGCCAGCAAAGGTAAACCAGATTGGAATGGGCATCATAAAGGACTATATGTTCTAACATTATCCATATTTCTCCGTGTATCAAAGATTCAAAATACCCTATTCAGAACCAAAATCTAAAGAACCAATTCTTGAATTTAGTAAAAGTAAATAGTATTCTAAGATTTCGTTTGGTATCTAGGATTGGAATGAAACAAATAACCATCAAAATTCACGGCATATTGAAGGTAGGTGAGAATGAATTCTCATTTGATAGGATTACAAGGGGATTAAGAACGAGGGAAACTTCGTCCGTCTAATCCTACCATTTCGGAGAGGATTAGAATTGATAAGTTCTCTTTTTGACCTCCTTGAAGGTAGGTGAGAATGAATTCTCATTTGATAGGATTACAGGGGGATTAAGAACGAAGGAAACTTCTTCCGTCTAATCCTACCATTTCGGAGAGGATTGGAATTGATAAGTTCTCTTTTTGACCTCCTTGAAGGTAGGTGAGAATGAATTCTCATTTGATAGGATTACAAGGGGATCAAGAACGAGGGAAACTTCTTCCGTCTAATCGAAGGAAACTTCTTCCGTCTAATCCTACCATTTCGGAGAGGATTGGAATTGATTAGTTCTCTTTTGGACTTCCTTCAACATACCTTGAAAATAGAAACTTCTATATTCCAATCCAATCCAATCCTCTAAACCAAACGAGGCCAAAACTAACTAAGAAACAATTATTCTTATAGTTCTAATTGCAATACATCTCTGTTCTCCCAAACATATACTTTACAACAACAACAACAAAGCCTTTTCCCACTAAGTGGGGTCAGCTATGTGAATCCTAAACATATACTTTATAAAAAAAAATTATGAACATTAATATCAACCAAACTCACTTCAATTTCAAATGCAACTAAACTGAGTCGAAAAGATAAGCAAGATAACTTGAGTAAGTAAATAAATACTCAACCATGAATTACCTAGGACCCAAAATGAGGAAATAAGGATAGCTACTACTAAAACCAACAACAAAAAGATATAGCCATGAGCGAAGGATGAGTTGTCAAAAAGGAAGATGATCAGAAACACACCAGAAAGAAGTTCCGCAAAGTTAGGGAAGATCTCAAACATGAACTAAGTAGACATCTCCTAAGAACGACGAAATCACTTGTTTTTTGGTGTTTTCTTTTTTCTTTTTTGGTTTTTTTTTTTTGGGGGGGGGGGGGTGGATCACTCTATCTGCAACCAAGCTAGGAAGGACAAGCAAAATATATTTGATTCACCGGTGTAGTACACATTCAGCTTTGCTAAGAATGAAAGGATTCCCACTCAACTACTTGATCACGGGATAACAACTTCGAATTTTGAAATCCCCATTTTTGTAGTTATCTCATTGCACAGCACCTATCACTAGCTCCTATACTAAACAATAAATCCCATATCATACAAGAAGACCTCCAAACAAATCAAACGTGTCTCTAATATTATGTGCTGTATTGAACTATGGAACAATTCCAAAGCACAACTGTGCCATGAAGTCAAGCATTTAGCCCAGCCTGTGTCAGGGCAGCACAAAGCACAAAGCATCTTACTTCCCCCCATACTCTAGAGTTTATATTGTCTCAAGAGGGAAAATATACAAAGCCATTTCCTTTCTCTCATACCACAGGGGACTCAGTGGAACTTCTATTAAATGCAATGTTCTGTTAAACTGTTAGTAGATATAAGGCTCCCAACCCCATGCACATTGATAAGTGCATTAATGTTCAACTAATATATGAGTGTCAGAAAACCAATTCAGCAAAACCGGAAAGCACCAAAAGGACCACTAAAGAAGGATACGGTAGGGAAACCAAACTTTAAATTATCATGAATGCTAGCTTTGGGCCACTAAATATAGCTTATAAGTGTAAGAAAGTCTAATATGCTATCAAGGGAAGTAATCTTAACCTCAAGCATATAATCCAAAATGATGCACATTCGTGTCATAAGATGTAAGCGTAGTCTAGGTATCTATCTCTAGGAACCTATCGTAATGTACCAACCTAGGAATGAACAAAACCTGAGAGAAATGCACACATTAACAGTTACGGGACTTTCTAATGCTCTCATAGTATACATCCACAAAACTGGTTTCAAAGTATAACTTGCATCTCAAACAATCATTAAATGCAGTATATCAAAGTTCAGAAAAATGAACAACAATGAAAAAAAATCAAGAAACCTGGTGGGAGATTTGGATAATAACAGAGAGAGAAGTCAAATGCACGTGTTCTATCAGCAAGGTTATCTTTCATGTAACCTTATGATGACTACACTGCAATTAAGAGAGTATGAAATTAGAACTTATTTACAAATTAGGTAACACCGAAACTGAAACCTGAAAATTAGCACATATAAGCCATATACATAATCATCTGTGATGAAGCATGCATTCTTATCGTTAATGCACGACAATGCTATTCTTCAACCATACTAACATGAGCATTATACATAAACATGATTAACCACACGTTATAAACATATATGCAAACCAAAATAAAGGAAGCAAATTTGATTAGTAAAATGAGATCGTTAATCCAAAAGTGTAATGAATCTTATTCTAAACTCAACAATGCTCACATTCTATAATTTAAGCAAAACAAGCTGATCATTCCATTCAAATTTCTCAGGCAATGCATAATAACTTCTAAATGTAGAACAATTTAGAGTTAACTGAGATTTCACAAAAATCTAAGCCTAAACCTGCTCACTACCACATCAAGCTCTGGACTTGCGGCGAAGACTCTTCCTGAGCTTCTTTAATTTATGCTTGTTCATCTTCTTCTTCCTCTTCTTCTTCACACTGTCAGCCCAAATCGTCCTTGCATCTTCGGACTCCACCTCGAAAGCCTCGAAAACACCCAACCGCTCCAACCCAGCTGGGGAAATCGGATTTAAGCAAAACCCAAATGGGAAATTGGGGAAAATGGGAAAGGAGTTGGGAGATTCAGCATTGTGGAAGCTTGTGGGACCAAATTGAGGAACTGGGTCTTCTGCGCAATCGGATTTGGGCGGGCCTAGATGGCTGTGGTGGGAAATACGAGAGGGTGTGGGATTGGGGAAGAGATGGGTTCTTAGGGACACCGCTGTTCTCAGAGACGGTGCGTTTCTGGCGAGTTTGTGAACAAAGCTCGCCATCTGGGGGCGGAGAGAGGCGGTAAAATTGACGGATCAGAAGCTGCTCCGTCGCGGAGTGACTCACGGTTGGGAGGATTTGAAAAGCTTGATTTGCTATGGCGTTTTTGGTTATGCCGAAAAGGGTTTCATTTCGAAGTGGAGAACGGCGACGACGGGCTGCGAGTCGCTAAAACAAGAAAGAGGCGACGACGTCGTTTGGTGAACAGAATGATGAGAAATGTTTTACAATATCCCCCGAACTTAGTGCCATATTCCAATTTGACCCCTGTTTTTTTAATTCTCTCTTTTTTGGCACTTGATATTCTGTTAGAAACTAAATACATGGCAAGGGAGATTCAAACTTGTTGCATAGAAAGTACATTTACACTAGTCAATTTGACTAAAGATGCTTTGGCCATAGGTGGAATTTTTTTGAATCGAAACCAAAAAGCGATTGAAATTGATGGAACCAATCAGCTTGGTATACCAAATTTTTGTTCGATTTTCTTACCTGACGGCCTGTCTTAGTATTGGATTTGTCCCTTAGAATTTTTTTTTTATTTTAATTTATTTTTTGGATCATAGTCTTTTGAAAAGTATTAATGTTTCATCTCACGTTAAATTTGTCATCTCTAGTATTAAATTACAAGTCATATTTATTTATTTGAAAATTTAACAAAAAATTTGTGATAAATTCAAGCATTCGACTTAATTTATCGTTTTATGACGTATTGAGAATAAATTGTCACGTTTTAAAACATCATTATTCATGATCAAATTGAAAGTCGCATAAACAAATCGAAAGAAGGTAGTAAGTTGAGGGTCATTGCACAAAAAATTTCTTAGGAGTGTAAACGACGCCGTCCTGTTCAAGTTGAAAAGAGCGCCAGCAACTTGGAACAAAAACAAAAAAAACAAGAGAAGAAAGAGCGCCTGATTCTCTCCCATGGAGGAACACACATTTGAGCCTGTAAAACCCTAATTTCTCATCCCAATTCGCACTCAGAAACGTTCGATTTCGCTTCCTAACATTTTTTATTTGCATTTTTCAGGATCTAATTCACACGATTTTCAAGATCGTCTGGTCCAAAAGAGCTCTCGGTTTGAATTCCCCGCCAATTTTTGTTCCTTCTGCTCCGTCAATTTCTAACTTCTTCTTTCTCATATGACTTGTCCATTTCTGTTTCCGTTTCCAGAGCGTCAAATGATCGAAGGCGCCGATGCGTTGGACGGCGAGGTACTAATTGTTCTTCCACATTTTCGTAAATTGATTGCTGTTAAATGTGGAAGTAATTTAGGGCAAGGAAAATTAGATTTCTGCCGTAGAAACCCTAATTTTGGGATTTACTGACATCAAACTTTGTTTGTTGCAGACCGGAGCTGGAACATCGAAGAAGAATCGCCCCACATCAGGTTTTAATCACGTTATAGGTTTCACTAATTTTTTTTGGGATTTTTTATTTGTTTGTATGTAATTTATTATTGATGATTACTTTGTTCCGCGATTGCTATGCAGCCAATGGAAATGCCTTAAAATTGAGCTGTGAACTTCTCCGGAACTTTACCACAGGTTCACACAAACTTTTGGTTGCTTAGTTGAGATTGGATGTGGTCAGAAGTTTTGTGTGTTTATTGTGACATTTTGAGAAGCATTTTGTGTCGTGGCAGAGGCTGTGCAGCGTGCTGCTACAATTGCTGAAGCGGAGGGCGTGAGTAAAATTGAACCAACTCACTTGGAGCGGGTTCTCCCACAGTTGCTTTTGGATTTTTGAGGTATTTTTGAGGTATTCATGAGGACCCTAATCTTTTTTATTTATTTGTTTTGCTACTTTTCTTTTGGTTTTCTTATGTTTTATAATTTCATTTGAATCCTTTGCAATACGGATGCATTATTGGAAAGTAATGCACTTTGATAAGTGGTGTAACTTGAGATAAGACAGCATTCATACGCTTGACCCAAAGGCGGCCCTCACATCAGCTTTAAAGTAGTTCCCACAGAAACTGATGTCTTGATGTTTAGATTTATGTTTCTCTGCTACCGTATGATTCACATGTCGAACCCAAGAAATTTCTATTTGATTTTCATACTGTCCATGTAAAAAATTTATAGATATTAACAGGGCAAGTGGATTTTATACCTACTGAAATTCATACTGCTTAAATTCTTTTGTCCATGGTACATAAAAACATGTTTTCGTTGCTCGAATGACTGGAGTTATATACTTTGCCTTTGAAATTGGAGTTTTATGTTTTGTATTCAATTGTCTCTGGCATCATATGGTGAACCCAAGAATTTTGTATTTGGTTTTTGTTCATATTAAGGTAAACCTGTAGATAGTGATATCCATACTGATTAGAATACTTTTCTTATGACGGAGAAATGAGATAAGGATCCAAAAGAAATGGCTGAAAATGAACAAGGCAATGAAAAAACACTTACGTGGGGAAGTTGATTGGTTGCTTCCTAAAAAGCACTTTTCTTTTCTATAGGGATGGTAATGGAATGCCTTTACATGGGACCTTCATTTCTATGGAGTGCACTTAGATGGACTCTGATTTTCTTAGTGGAAGTTCTGTTTTGTTTTGAAGCATGAATCTGAGGAAGCATGTCTATTGATAATTTGACTGCCCTGCGTTTTGCTTCAGGTTCCAAAACTTGGCGAACTAAAACAAGAGTATGGACGGTAATATTCTTGGAGGCATTGACAATAAGGTTGTTTCATTGGAACCAAACCTCGTATTAGATGTTTGTTTGCTGCTATGAACTCACTTTGTAATTTTTAAGCTAGAATCCTTGAATTTCTGCTGGAAATCTTGGGAGTGGGAGTTTAGGATATGCATGATCTTTGGTGTACTGTAAATCTTCGTTGAATTAGTATAAGTCTAAACGACAAATTGCCCCTCATTCCTCTCGTCTTTCACTCACTTAACTAGCTCTGCTAGGTGACCGGAGACGGGATAGGTACAGATGAGCTCTGTGGAAGATAGGCAGGGGTAGCACTTTAAACAATGTTGGAATATCGTTTGAAGGGGAACACAATATTTTCTTATTCGTCGTGCTATTTTACATCATCACTTTCATTGAGAATACATATTTGATACAATTAATCTAGTAGGATTCCTGTTGAAAACAAACATGAAACATATAGTTGGATACTTAGTGCTTGATTTGAGACAGCATACACCTAACGTCCTTACTGTTAGGCCTCTCTTTCGGGTTATCCAGAGTGCAAAAGCAAGCAATCTTGAGAACCAGGAGCATTTGCTCCTCATATCCGTTTCCCAACAGTTTCGGGTCGATTGCCTGCCTAGGGTTCTCCGAAGTCATGACATTCCTCATCCACTTAACCAGACTCATCTCATTCGTGTTTTGGAAAAACTCATCGGATGGAAGCTTTCCCATCACCAGAACCCCCAACACCACCCCGAAACTGTATATATCACACCTGTCTGTGAACTTGAATGTCTGATGGTATTCTGGTGCTATATAGCCAACAGTTCCTGCTACATTCGAAGTTGAAATGTGAGTCTGAGCGTCCGGCATTGCTTTTGCAAGCCCGAAATCTGCAATCCGAGCTTCCATATCATCATCCAGCAGGACGTTTGCGGGCTTGAGGTCTCTGTGAATGATGTGAGGGGTGTTGTCCATGTGAAGGTATTCAAGCCCTGAAGCCACTCCGAGAGCAATCTTATGCCGTGTAAGCCAATCCAACTCCCGTGTTCCCGCCGAAACTTGATTCAACATGTCTTGCAAGCTCCCGTTCTTCATGAACTCATAGACCAGGTAATGACAATCCGGTCGAGACACGTGGGCTAGCAGAGGAATAAGATTCCGGTGCCTAATTTTGCTCACGGTGTTGATCTCCGATCGGATTTGACGCATCTTCTTGTTCATAAGCTTACTTTCCTCGTCAGCGGTCAGTTCATCGGCATCTTTTGGGGGTTGAACTATCTTCTTTATTGCAATCATTTTGCCGTTGCTTCCTGGCAACTCGGCTTTATAAACCTCTCCACATCCACCCCTTCCTATGAGTTCCAAATTAGCCAGGCCATCATCTTTTTCCAGGAAAGCCAAGTCCTCTTTCCTCTTGATCAGAGAACTGAAAATCGCAGGACCGCCATCTTTGCCGCCACCTTTTACCACGGCCAACAGCAGCTTGAACAGCAGAGAAAAGATGAATCCGGATATACATCCGGCCAGTGCTCCGGCTAAAAACCCGAGCAGCCACCCTCCTACCTTCCTCTTGTTATTCTTCTTCTTGTGCTTTTTTGTTGCAGATGGACCCGGAGCAAGAGCGTTAGATGGAGCTTGAGCATTAGCAGAAGCTGTGGAGCTGTGGTTTTTTGTGGTTGAATTCTCAGCCAAAATGTAACGTTTTGGCACATCGGTTGCTGAAATCTCGACCCCTTTCATCGTTGGCACCGAGCCTTCGAGGAATTCGTTTCCAGCGAAGTTGAAAGACCGAAGATTGCGAAAGGAACGAATGGTAGCTGGGATTTTCCCGGAGAAGAAATTGTCAGCAATGGAAAGGCTTTCCAGGTTGGGAAAATGCTTGAGGAAGCTCAAATTCCCGGACAACTTGTTGGACGAAAGGTCGAGGGTTCGAAGGCGAATGAGGTTAGACAGCGCGGCAGGAACTTCCCCGGAAAACTGGTTGTCTCCGAGGTTGAGAATCTCAAGCTTCCGGCAGTCAACGATTTGAGATGGGATTTGGTCAACAAGTTTGTTGTGAGCAAGAGAGATCTCTTTGAGCTCGGAGAGCCGCCCTATTGCCGGGCTCAGAAAGCCATCGAGGCGGTGTGATTTGAAGACGAGCCGGGTGATTCGGAGGACGTAGGTGTTGTTGTCCGAGAGCCTGCGCTCGCAGAAGACACCGGGAGTGTTGCACGGAGCTGGTTGACTGATGTGGAATTGGAAGCCCAAGGTTTTTTGGATGGTGGTGAGGGCTTGGAGGTCGGAAGGGTCGAGATTGAGTCTCGCGTGGATGGAGGAGGAGGGAGAGGAAGGTGAGGAGGCTGAGCTGGGCGGCGGTGCCGGATAAGGCTGCCATTTGTGGCCGGAAATTTCCGTGTTTTTGGACTTTGAACTAGGACTGGTTCATACTTGTTGGTTGGCTCGGTTATTAGTTTTGTATTTTATAGAAGGAGAGTGTGGAATAATGGACGGAATGTGGAGCCCTCATTCGCAGTAGATTCAAATCTCCAATCAGACAAGTTTACTCTGACTAAATAATATCAATTAAATTATCACGTTAATCCTATTTTTAATTGGTTCTCACTTGTCCACTGAATCCCCCCCCCCCTCTTTCCCATAATCCAAGTTTGTAAAGTTCTTTTTTTTTTGGTTTAACATAATTACAATAAGTGGTGCTATTTACGTATCTTTTTTTTATCTTATACACATTTATTTTAATTTTCGATTGTCGGATTGAATGGGTTGAAGAATATCAAATGACAGAAATTAACAGTGTGTTTGTGGGAGGTAAAAAAGAGCGTTGGATAACACTGCTCTTTGAGTTTTTTTTTATTAGCACTCCGTATATTGTTGAATACACGTCATATAAATTTTCCAACATGAATCCTTGCAATCACTAATGCAAAGACTTGCATTCAAAATCGAATTATCTGATGGCAAATTCGATACCAAATTAAGTTGCTTATTGTGTGGCTTAACCAAACTTTCTCTTCATTTAGTGTACACTACATCGTTGTTCTAAAAAAGAAAAGTTTGAATTATCCGGGAATGTTAAATTAGAGGTGATTAGTCTAAGGGCAACATTATTAAGCTCAAATCTATCATCAATGTCTGTAAGTTGGATTCACCGCCTGCTTGTACAATATTAAATATATAATACATATAAGGAATTATTATTAGCACTCCAAAAATTTCATTCTACACTTCAAACTTTCTATATTAGGAAAGAAAAATACACTTGTGAGGAGTGTAGAATGAGATTTTTGAAGTGCCAGTAACACTTTCCTACATATATATATATTTAAATAGTTGATCGTGGTGAAGAAGATGAGTTTAATGTGGGGTTTAAGTGGTGATTGTGGAGTGTGTGTAGAAAGTGTGGTGGGTGAGGGTAATAGTGGAATGCATGTGGCGTGTGTTAAGATAATTATAATTTAAAAAGTAAATACGGAGAGTATTAAGTGGAGTGTAGTTAACAAAATGTAAGGTGTTAATAAAACAACTTGTTAATTGTCAGACTAATTCGCCAATGATTCATCTTTCAATCCACCCATAATAATAAAAGAGTTAAATGTATGTTCGAACGTGAGTGTAGTTATATTACTTAGAACGGATGTGCTTTCTTTATGTATTTAAATTTAAATTACGCCAGCCGTAATTTAGATTGTAGTTTGAATTGTAATATGCTTCAAATCCAAAAATTTTGTTCAAGTTTTGAATTCGGTCTATGTGTTTGTGCACATATGAGGAGAAGAAGCTGGGAATAGTTTGATGTTTCTTCCATCGATCTTCCCCATTTATGTTGTTTTTCAATCGATTATGGTTTCAAATGTCATCTATTGCGAAAAGATCTTTCTCTAAGTAGAAATGTGAAATACGCTCCGATAATTCAGAGGAATGTACAATTTTTAAATATGTGTGGTTTATGTTCACACGTTTGAATAGACGAACGTCAAATTACATTAGTAAGATTAAGATTGTTAACACGATAAAACATATCCAGTGTTCTACAAGTCTTTGCCTAAAGCCGCATAGGCACTAGGCGGCTGGTCACCGCTACGATTAATCCTCAAGCGTTTAAAAAATAAGAAATGACGCTTAGACCTACTTAGGCGCCTATACCTGCCTAGGCATCCGCCTAGGTCAGACTCTCGCTTAGACAGAAAATAGAAAACTTCGATTTTGCTTTTATTCAATAAATTGTTAGAAACTTGTTGGATACTTAGATGAACACTCATTATATGTTTGTTCCCAGATTTTCAATATATTCTAGTACTTTATAATTTATATGTCATTGTAATTTGCATTTATACATTCTAAGACAATTATATATTTATTTAAGCATAAGTAGACATTTAGTTATATATTATACAATAAAAGTAATTAAAACACAAAAATCACCTAGGCCCCACCTTAGGTACCATCTAGACCATGCATAGGCACCGGCCATACGCTAAAATCCTGCTCGTCATCAACTAGCGCCTAACACATTTTAAAACCTCGCATATATTGGAAATGGGTAACAAAGGTCACCATTGTATTGGAACCCCATTATACACGCCAATAGATTGCCAAATGGACTGCATATGGTCAAGCACTCAATATATCGTAATTTCATGACCCGTTACTAGGGTTAAATAATTTTCTTGACTTGGAAGTTTCCAAGTCCACCCCACTCAAATCTCCATCGGTCAAGTCAACACAGGGGGCAAGGCAAAGTCTTTGCGATGTTTCTGGCCGTTAGATCGAAGATTCCTTTAAAAGGTTTCTTTCAAATAATTACTTTGATATTGACTTTAGAGATATTACGAATTAAAAGATTTTTGCGCTGAGATTTTTTTGGTATATTGGAAACACAGTTCAATATTTTAAATATAATAATACAATTGGTTAGAAATATAAAAAAAAAATTTATAACCAATTATATTGTAACACTTAATGTATCAAACCGTATTACAGACCGACATTGCTAAAGGCCAACGGGCCACCATCCCCTCCAAAGTCTCCCACGGGGGCCAGCCACTCCTCCAGTCCCAGTCAACACTCTTCTCCTCTTAATTTCCAGGAAATTATTTGCTTATTGTTTTGTCCTCTTATATTATCTGCAAGTTGGAGCCGAAATAAAATGAAGAAGAAACGAGGGAAGAAATAATGTTTGGTTTTCTTGATTGGAAATGAATAACGCGTGGATGAGCACCAGACCGTGTTTTGTATGTAAAAACAAATAAATCATTACTTGTGAGCCGCTAAACATTAAAAAAATGCTTTTTTATTATATTTATCCACACTAGGGTTACTACTCAACCGGTTTGAAAATAGTAATGATCCTTGCCAAAATCAAAACAAGAAACTTAAGTATTTTTTGGTTTCGGTGTTTTTGGGTACTGGCATTTTTGGGTATGGTAATTTACGTTAACTTTGGTTTGGTTTTTCATATATTTCGGTTTATTTTCGGTCTTTTTTTTCTTCTGAAGATTGTTTTCATGTATTTTGCATTTTTTTTCCTTCCAAGTCCAGTATTTCACACTTCTCATTTTATTTGGAGAATACAAGCAATTCTAACATGCTAAACTCACTAAACAATGTAATTAGAAGCTCATTTATTTGAGTAAAAAAAAGAATCAATATGTAAAAATTGAACCAATTGATTGAACACATACCAACTATAAAGCTAATTAGTGCTCTAGCTAGAAATTTAGAGATGTGGATGGGGGTGCAACAACGACAGCATGGGAGATAGAAAGAGGTTTAAAGAGAGACCACATAGTACTACGGTCTAGTGGTATTCATTTTCACTTGTAAGTGAGAGGTTTTAGATTCGATTCTCACCAAAGACAAATTTGAACCACATTATTGCTAGCCCATTAGGAGGCTAAGCCCCCCTCCCCCTTAGTGTCGATAATATTGTTTGTTAAAAAAAAAAAGAGATAAGGGGCTTTGCCCAATGGAGATGACATATTGATTAGGGTTTTACTTTTTATTTTTATTTAAGTGATTTAGTTTGGTGTAAAAAGAAGTTTGATTGAGTTGGTTTTGATCAAGGTTTAAAATATCGATATTATCCTAATATTTTCATCGAAATTTTCGTGTTTTTGGACTACCGATATTTCTGATATCATCGATATTTTAGACCTTGATAGGAACTCTATGTGGTACTAAGTCACTCATGTATCTTACCATGCAATGTATAAAGTGTAAAATATTGTACTAATTCATTATATATAAATAATTATGGTGTGTTTAAACTTCTTTCATTAATTACTACATATTTTCTACACTCACAATGTTTGCCAGCTCGCTATATAATCAACTTAAATCAGTTAAATCCATCATGCAATGCATTTCCTTCCAATTTTTTGTGATAAACTAATAGATAATTGACTAAATAAACATCCTGCAAAGTTTCAATAAAAATTTCCAAGTTTTTCTTACAATTTCCGTGGTTTTTATTCAATTTTTATCGATATCGATAATATCTTGATATTTCCATCGAAATTTCCGTGTTTTTGGACTACCGATATTTCCGATATCATCAATATTTTATACCTTGGTTTTGATAAATAAGGGTAGTTTCAGAAATAATGTTGGATGTAAAAGAGATAATGATAGATAAATAAAATACAATGCAAGTCTAAAAGTAAGTTGGCTCCAAAGATACAAAATATGAGTTTGAATAAAATTTCTCATATTTATATAGCCGTATTGTTGCTGAACGTTATAGTAACTTATATTTCTGTCCTTGATAATTTAATAGGCTTTTCCGTTAAAAAATGCATTGAGATTGACATAACTCTTCACTTTGGTCATTGAGATTAAAAATTGATACAAGTGGTTTCTAAGTTTGTCTACTGTAAATTATTTTGATCTTTTCGTGAAAAATTTGTCAACATCATCGTTACATTATCAAATAAATGACCACGTGAGCATTTTTTTAAGAACATTTTCATCAAAACCAGCCCCCTCACTTGTTTTTTTTTCTTTTCACAATTTTCTCTCATCTCTCTCGTTTTTTTGACCTTAGTCCTCATCTCTCTCATCGGAAGAGGATCCTCTTTGTGGGAATCTAGAGGATCAACCAATCGTCTCTGTTCATCGTACATCGTGCGGTCAATTTTCGTTAGGTACTATTTATATTTAATTTTAAATAAAAAATTTAAAATAATTTTTAACCATACAATATACGATGAATAAACACGATTGATTGATCATTTGATTCCCAACAAATAGAATCTGGATAAGATCCTATTCTTGTCTCATCAATTTGTTCTTGTTTGCACAGAGAGTAAAGAAAAAAGAGTGGCACCAATGCAGCCTTGTAAGTGTTGAAAAAAAAAATGATAATAGCTTACAATTAGTCACCTAATAAATGCAAACCAACCACTACAATACCATTTACCAAGTCAAAATGCAAACCAAGGCAACCTTTAATACAAATTAACAAAAACCCTACACCTTAAGACAAATTGATGAGAGAGATGAGGACTAACTGACTAAGGTAAAAAACAGGATAGGGATGAGAGGGAAAAAAAAAGGCTATAAGGCAAGTGGATGGGTCGATTTTGACGAAAATACCCTTTAAAAACTGGTCATGTGGTCGCTCATGTGATTTTTTAATGATGGTGTTGACAAATTTTTTACGGAATGATCAAAATGATTTACGGTGGATAACGCCAGGGACCACTTCTATCAAATTTTAATCTCAAAAATCAAAGTGAAGAGTTATGTCAATATCAAAGATAATTTTGGTTTAAAAACCTAATTTAATATGCCTTTACAAGTAGAGCAAAACGAATGGACAAAGAACACTACTTAGCTGCTGCAAATTCAGCAGCAGCTGCTTCAACCTGAACACAAAATAATTGAAATTATAAATACAAATTAGACACAAGTAAAAGCAAAAAGGGTTAAACAAATAAACCTTAAAAACGCTTAAACAGACGTTCACCCTCGACTAATTAAGTGCAGTCCAACTTTTGTGCCTAGTCGGCTGATTGTCTTTTTCTAAAGAAAGAAACTTTACATATACGCGTTTGTATTCTTATTCAGATTGTTTAACATAATTTAATTTTAGTCAGTTCTATAATTATGTTTCTTTTTTAATTATATTAAAATTCGACCAGGCGTCCGGATTTTGATGGAACGGGAAATAGATTTCTGATCCAGATTTCGTCCAAACAAACGTGGCTCATCATTGACTGAGAGTATCTTCAATGGAGACCTTAAAAGAGTCCTCACCACCGTATAAACCTCCTATTAAGGGCAAAAAACTTCCAATGAGTCCGAAAAGAAGTCACTGAAGTATAGGATAGTATAAAGACTTGTCGGAATTCATATAAAAATCCTCAAAACGTAAGGATGTGGATAGGGACTCTAAATGGTGGTAAGTTTGAAAATTTGGAAAATTTGGATGGGCTTCAACCCACGTGAATGCTAAAGCAGCAAAACACGTCAGTTCGGCCCTACAATGCACTTGCTATCTACGTTTTTTTCTTGCTCTGTCAAATCAACAGCTTGGGTTGTTTCATACAATTTTCTTTGCCTTATTGTTGGAGATCCAACATTTACTTTTCAAACTTCCAATTTTTTTTTTAGGAAAAGTAATGAAAAGGGTTTGAAAACTTTGAGTTTTAACGATAAGGACAAAATAAATGGTAAATTGAATAGTACCAGAGTTGATTTTTTGGTGTAAAAATGTGATTTTTCGATAAAGTGAACAGTACCGGAAACTTTTCGTTAAAGTTCCTTTTTTTTTTTCACATTTGTTTAGGATTCTACCATAGGGACTCCTTCATTGAAACAAATATTTTTTAAGGACCCATATATTCTTGTTGAGTCCCTAAAATGTCTTCAACAAATGGTGGTAAAGACTCTATCTTGGGGTCTCCCATTATGCTACGAGCTAAATCTAAAGGTTGGCACCTTAAAAAAATTATAGAGAATTAGATATCAGAGACAGAGTAATTTAAGCACTGAAAAATCATTCAAGCAACATTTTCAACATTTAATTAGGGTTTATAGCAAAACCCAATTAGCAAAAGACTCAGCAGCAAAGGACTAGGTGCTTATGGAGTCCTAGCAATTTTCACAACTTCACACTAGCAAATTTATTTTTAATGCACACTAAAACATCTAGCTCTCTCACGAAAGAGCCATAATTAATGTAATAAAACATGATTAACAACAGCATTATCATGCATAAGTTTAACTAAACATGCCTCAGTCGAGACAGCAGCGGAACATGAAGAACTTCTCCATCTCGAGGCCGCACTCAGCGCACGCTATTCTGTCCGGTATGTCAGGACCGAACCCTGGGATGACCAAACGAGTGCAGTGCTGTGGCGTGTGACGGCGTCCGAGTTGATCTTGAAGTGTTGGGACGAAGCCATTTTCCGCAGCTGCGGCTTTCCATGCATCAAATTCATCCAAAGTGAGTAGAGTGAGGTGTCCATTGGCCCTAGCCCTCTCATTCGAGCCTCTCCACACCATAACCCAACCTTGGTCACTTCCGTCGTAGCTAAGCAATGTCATAACCTCCTTCAGTATGTTATCATTGTCTAGAGTCTTGTGGTGTTTCGCCTTTGAGCACCGCATGCTGTCCATTCGGGACCAGAAGAACCAGGTTGACGTGTATTCAGGCCAGCATCGACTGAGGTTCTCTGTTTCAATGGTCTTGTTCACTTTCCTTATCTTCTCCTTGGTTGCGGTGCTTCTTCCTACGTAAACCAAGTCCAAGGAGATGCCAGCAAGTTTTGCCACATTTTTCGCTTTGTTTGTGAACTTTCGAATCCAATCCAAGTCATCGCTTCCATACAAGCATACGAATGTCCCCTTTTCTATCTGATAAAGCAAAGAAAGTCCATGTTAGTTTTAAATCCCTTCAAAATGTTGGATTAATGAGTAGATATTTTTGAGTATGTGAGGATATTATATTATAACACTGTCTAACATAAAGACGTTAGCTTGTCGGACAATCTAACATGTTATGTTGTCAGATGATCAATATGAATAATGGAATATATGAATTCTTGTTGTAGTATTAACAAAGAAAATCTTGTGATAGGGAAGTACTTACCCCTTCTAGTATGCTTTGATCAATGCCGTCTGCAACGAGCTCGAGCCTCCAGCTCTCTGCATTCCACAGCTGTTGCTCTTTCTCATCAGTGAAAGGGAAGGCCACATTGCCCCATATCCACAGCATGTGGATGGCATTCAGAGAGGACACCCTCCCTTGTGGATCCAATGCCACTACGATCATCTTCTTGTCAAATTGCCAATCATTTCTGATAAACTTTACAACCGGGGGTTCGATGATTTGAGGGTCGTAAACTGTGTACCACTGCATCCTTGACTTCAAGTCCTCGAATCTCAAGCGCTTCGCTTCATCCCAAACATTCGTGTCCACCATGGGGATCCAAACAAACTCGTACTCAACTTCCGGCCTTTTCTGCTTATCTTTGTAGATGTGATCGAGGATTAAAATCTCTTCGTTGCTCAGACTAAGATCTGTAATTAGCAGCAACACATGCCTTCTCCTCAACACTTCAAGACCAGACTGTTTTTGCCAAGGGAATGATTTATGTATAAATTTGACAGTTTGGTTGGTTGGTTGAAATGTAAGATTGGGAATACAAGTTATAAGTAGACATTTACCCTCGACTTGGTTGTGCCGATTTGGAGAGGTTGAATATCATCCCTGTGTGATATCAGTGCACGTAAATTCCTCAGGTTATCAAGGTGGAGGCTTTGGAAGAGCCGTCTCAGAGTCTCATATTCTTCATCATATCTCTTCGCCACTGGATCCAACAGTAAATTTTGTTCAGTATTTTGTTACATTAAGTTGCAAGAGATACATGTCAACAGTTATAGAGGTGAAAATTCAAGAACCTACCAATGTGTTGGCGACAATTTTCAAGTTCGTTCGTGAGGTGATCGTGTATGTTGTTCAGCTTATGAGCCAAGCTTGACAGTTCCCATACCTCTGTGGTTGATGCAACGTACCTACAAAGGAGTGGAAAAGGAGCTGCAATTAGCTTAGGCATAGCTCGAAATGGATGCGATGATATATGTTACCGAATGGCTTACTCGAGCCTACTGCCAGTAAGGATGGCAATATGGGAGGCACTAGCCAGAATGCCTCGAATGACCCAATACGCAGCAGCAGGAATATGCGCCAAGGCAATTGACAGCGGAGGTTTGTCTTCTGAAACGTACTGAGACTGCATATTGACCATCTCACTGTACTCAACAATGCGCTTGGTGACATTGAGAATCGCCTTGTTGAGGTTGTTGATTGCCTCAAGTTGAGGTTTTACCGAGTCAGCATGCTCTACAATGTCCGAGAGTTGCTTCAGGGTGGCCAGGGACTTGGCTAATGAATCGGTAGTGCAAAGCTGAACCACCAGCCAGAACTCTCCATAGTACACAGAATATGCAGCTAGGGTTATCGCCACTTTTGCTTCCCATGGGTAACTCGAAAGGGTCCTGAGTAACTCGATTGCACTCGTGTGCGCATCAGCGCCGCCTGAGCATTGGCAAGTTATCTGCCATTACATGGATACACCGCGCTTACAGATTTGTATATTGCATAAAAAATGTAATAGAAACAAATAATTTAATATATCGACATCAAATCTAACTGTACTCGAAATAATATGATTTTCGTTACGTAAAAAGTTCTTAGCTTTAGCAAAAAAGAATCTATGCTTAAGGATAACCTCGCAGTAGATCTTTTGTATGAGATAAGACAATCCATGGAACAAGACATCCACACTTGACAATGGGGTCCTGTCCTCGACAGTATCCAAGTGTTCTGGAGTACCCTGCACCACAAGCAAAGCAATTTCGTGACCGAAACAAACAGAACTATTGCAGTATATGAAGTGTTTTCAAGCAACTAGGGAAAAATTAGCACAAAATAAAGAGAAAGGGGGAAGGGAATACAAGTAAACCGCCAGCATGGCCATGAGGGGTGCGATGAAATATTTCCTCGATGACTTGGAGAATTTGGTTGACATCGACGCTGTGACTGTCGAATCTTCCCGGAGTATGAGTGTCCCGGATTTGCCTCACCAATGCACTATCATCAGATTGTGGTGCGGATGATGTTCTTTTATCCCTCCGAATCTGCTTCGCAGCTGCCGGCAGATGTTGTTGGCTTGCCATTTTTCGGAGCTGCGAATTAAAATGCCTAAAGGAGAGTGGAAAACTTTGGGTTTGAGTGGTTTTACAGTTTCAGAAACTAAGCCTTTATATAACAACAAGAAGATGGAATAAAAGGTAAAGCCTTAGGGACATGTACCTTGCTTGCAATGAGAGTCTAATTAAAGTAAAAGCCAGGCATGTACTTGATAAGGACATAAGTTTTTTGTTGGTGGTTAATCCGCTGCATTATCTTTGATTTGAGGTTTCTGTCGAAAAGTAAATTTGGAAGTAGAGCTAATATGCGTGGACGATTGTCACTCATTAATATGTACGAGTCTCATGTGTTAGAAGCGTCGTGCAGACTCCAATACGCTAAATATGTACATGAATATGATATTTTAAAAGAGATAAGAGGTGAATCATGTCAAGCACTCCAAGGGGGAAAAATCTAAATTTACACCAAATACACATGAATATGAATAATTGTCGGTCCTTATTAATATAGTAAGAACGTCGCGAAGACTCCAATCTCAAAACATTTCTTGTAAATAGAGGCCACGTCAACGTGTGCATACCTTGTCATTTGAGTTAACTTAATCTCCAAATCTTTTGGGCCATTGATTCCTAAGCAAGAACCATAAACAAGATTTAAAATTTGGATAATCAAACTTTTGCCAAGACAATAGCATTCTTTATTCGGGTGGTGCTATTCACACATTCAATTTTACCCTTCACACTTTTTCTCTCAATCTCCGTCCATCAGATCAAATGAATCAAAGAAGATGAGTGGAAAAAAAATTAACAAAATATGTGAAAAATAAAAAATAGCGTGTGAATAGATCTACCCGCTTTATTATCGTTCACCTTCTTTTCTTTTTCTCCCTTTTACTTTTCTCTCCTTGAGGAAAATTATACTTAATTAGATAAATGCAGGACAATCTGCTCCCATTGGTACCTTTTGTGCATACTTTTTTTATCTTACCTGGTGTGGATCATGTGGAATTTTTACATGAAATCATGGGCAGTAAACTGCAAGCTTCAATTCGAGACCAATGAGTATGTATTGTCCTGAAGAAAGGAATTATGTGACGAGACATTTCCGAATGAAAGGGAAAAGCAAGGGACACAGACACAGTTGAGGGGTCGTGAAATGAAGATTCTTTTTGGATAATCTTTGTGAGGATCTTGATGATCTTCTAAACACGTCTGTTCATCGTACATCTTGTGATTAAAAATTATTGTAAATTTTTTTTATTTAAAAAATTGAATATTCATAGTACCTGACAAAAACATGTTGCACAATGTACGATGGACGAACGTGATTAGAGGATTTCCTGGATCCTCACAAAGAAGATCCAGAAAGGATCCTCATTCTGTGAATACTATGACTCTACTAGGCGGAAGACTTTTATGATACGAATGCATTGTTATTATGGTGTACCATATCAATGCTATATTGATATGCAGTTATATACTATTGATACGGAATAAAATTGTAGCGGTATATTTGCATTATGTAAGTTGCTCTCATTTTCTACAATTATTTATATCACAGTGTAAACCGACATGTGGGGAGATAGTAAGTAAGAGAGGTGAACTTTACCAAACAAATCACATGTGTGCATATTTGCTTGTTTGATCGCTAGGCATAGAAATTGAACACCTCCCACCTTGGATTACCATAAAGACATGGGCTTGGGTTAGCATGGGTTGGCCCAAGAACCAAACTAGCTAGGCTTATAGATAAAATGGGTTCGACGGTTCGACTGGACCGGCTGAAGCTCAACATTTCGACCCGACCCAATTTGGGTTGAGCGTAATTTGGTTTTTGACTATTTGAGCCAAGACGGGCATTACCTAAGCGAAAGAAGAAGTGCCCAATACCCGTCTGTAACGGGTCCTGGGTTTCGATTTCGGCCTAGGCTTTAGATCCATCGATCAGGGTTTTAGGGTTTAACCTTGACCTCATGTTGATTTGCTTTTTTGTTGAGGGTAATATTTATGCTTCAAATTGCCAATGGAGAAGGCTAAAGGTCCTAAAGTTGAAAAAAAAAAAGAAAAAAAAAAAGAAGAAAACTTGATTTGTCTAGAAACTCATCTCCAACTGATAGTTGGGCTATAATTCCATAAAACCCACCAGGCCATTATTCGGCCAAAATGCATCAAGCTGGCCAAATGTAGCTCCCACTCTTAGCCATTTTTGGGGCCCATCTCTTTGGTTGCAATAATTGATTCGAATTCAACGGTTATATTTAAAAACATTCAACAGTAGTTTGATTAACTTAACCAATCAATTTAAAACTAATAAATTATTGAGGGGGTTATATTTAGCCCATTCGATTGGGATGATATATGAGTATGACCTGACACTGCTTATTTAAAATAATTTTTTACAGCGCTATAATTGTGGATGAGGCTATGTTTAACTCTTTCGGTTGACAAATAGCCTAACTTTCGATGCTTGGTTGAAGAGATTCCTGACGAGTTAGGGTTCATTGGGTCCGAACCCGAACCCAGGTTCGGATCAAGCTCTCGTTGGACTAGTATATCAAACAGTGGGCCCAACAAACCATTTCTACATCTTGGGCCTTAGCAATTCGAAGCCCAATTTAAACAAATAAAATGAGCCCATATGTGTGGGAGGAGAGAAGAAAGAGCTAGAGAGAGAGAGAGAGAGCGTGGCAAATGAAATGCGCTGTCTTTTTCTATTCCCTGCTGCAGCGAGAGCAACAAGAAGTGCTTTAGGCCGCTTATCGTATGGTTCCCGCTATCCAGCGCCCGGTGTGCAACAAGTCTTAAACTTCACCACTCGCGCTCAGCGCCATAGTCGTCGTCACGCACTCGCTCTCCTCCCAACCACCGCTTTCTCCTCCTCGTCGTTCCCTCTCCTCCAAAACCCTAATTTCCTCACGGGTAACCGTAACTCTTTCTTCCGCGGAATGGAGGTATCTCTCTCTCTCTCTCTCTCTCTCTCTCTGCTTGTGACTAAACAGAGCATTGGGTTTCTGGGTTTTCGTTCTTTCTGCTTATGTTCGTGTAAAAATTCAATCTTTGTGTTTGTTAATTAGTTTCTTATAACTTTATTGCCAACCCATTGGATTTGGATTTCATTTGTTATTGGTAAATAATAGAGTTTGAATGATGATTAATTGTGGTATGATCTGATTCTTGTAGCTGTGTTCCCAAATAATATGGATTTGTGATCATTTTAGTCTTCAATTCGAAGCGCTTTGTTGCTTTATTTGTGTTTGCAATCTGATTAATGTTAATCCAATGTGGATTGTGCTTGTTTGTGTTTATTTGAATTCCAATGTGGGTTCTGCTTGTTTGTGTTTATTTGAATCACTTTGTTGCTTAGTTCTATTTCGGCGTTAATTCTCTGTCAGTTTTTATTGTGGGAACAACATCGCAACCGAGCTTTTCTTTTTGTAATTGTTTTGTTTAATTTGCAGCAATACTGGTCCGGGAGTAGCATTAATAAGAACAAGGGGATGGTGGATCATTTGAAGAGTTATGGAGTGATTAGATCCAAAAGGGTTGCTGAAGTGATGGAGACTATTGATAGGGCTTTATTTGTGCCGGACGGAACCCCACCTTATGTTGATTCCCCCATGGCAATAGGTTATAATGCCACCATTTCTGCACCTCATATGCATGCAATGTGCCTTCAATTGTTGGAAGAGCATTTGCAGCCTGGAATGCGCGCTTTGGATGTTGGCTCGGGTAAGATTGTCTATCACATTTCTATATTCTTACGTGCTTGCAGTTAACACGTTCTCGGAAGTGAAAACTCACATTTTGACTTTTGGATACTATGGAAACCGGAATATTTTGCAATTGTTATGCTTCATTTTGAAGGCAGTCATAGAGGTTCTGGAACTTCCTTCACTGTGTTTTGTTTTGCAGGGACGGGATACTTGACGGCGTGTTTTGCGTTGATGGTTGGGCCACAAGGTCGCACAGTTGGTGTCGAGCACATTCCTGAGTTGGTTTCTTCCTCAATTCTGAATATTGAAAAAAGTGCAGCAGGATCATTATTGAGAGAAGGTTCCCTCTCAGTGCATGTTGGTGGTATGTCTTCTGAAACCTTGCAATGGAAACCAACACAAGAAAACAAAATTCACTGTCTTGTTAATTTGTAATTAAAACTTGCTTAGCATTAGTTTATGCACCGGAAACAAAACACCGGCTTTCTTCCAATTTGTTTCATTTCAATGGATAAATTGCCAATTGAGACTATAACACTTGTTGCCAAAGTTTGGCTGCCATTCACTCGATGCATATGGTCAAGTATATCCACCTGCATACGCATCAGCTCAACACGATTTTACTTGTGCAGAGTGCAATTACTCGTTTTATTGATTCGACATTTGTTGTGGCAGACGGAAGGCTAGGTTGGCCAGAGTTTGCTCCTTACGATGCCATTCACGTCGGTGCAGCTGCACCAGAAATCCCACAACCACTTATTGACCAGCTGAAGCCTGGAGGCAGAATGGTGATTCCAGTGGGAAACATATTCCAGGATCTTAAGGTTGTGGACAAGGACTTGGATGGTTCGATCAGTGTCCGGGATGAAACTTCGGTTCGTTATGTTCCTCTCACAAACCGAGATGATCAGCTGCGAGGCTCGTGAGGCGCTATATACTTCACCAAACGTCATAGCGATGCTCTATTCCATTGTCGGGTGCTACCAGCTGAATATTTGTGTACAGATAGATAACGCTCTGAATTTTCTTCGCAGTATTTGTTTCGATATAGTTTTTACGCCCGTCTCTGTGAATTCATCTGGTCTCAAGGGCATTCAAACTTTTGCCTGTTGGGAGATACATGACTTAAATAAGTAGTTTCTACTATGTTTTCCGTCGCGGTTTTGTTTAGACCTTTAGTTCTTGAAATGAAATGATTCAACACAGAAATTCAATGCAAATGGAAATATAGTGACATTCAAAAGCTCCATTAGCATTTCTGAACAGAATAGTAGCTAGTGTGAGTGTTTAAAGTATTCACGTAATTGTCGATGTTTTTTTACGTGTCAATATTTTCATCCAAGATCGATATAGAAAGGAGGTGAAATGCAAGCTTCACCTTATATCAGCTAAATAGGAAAATTAAAGACCATCAACGATATTTATAAATTTACTATAGAAATTTTGCTGACATTCATTGCACTTGTCGAACTTTTGAATTTTTTATTTATTAATTTTGACTAAATTTGAATGAGTTCTCTAATCTCACAGCAAATTTTCATAAATTTCGTCGAAGGCTACCATATATTGATATCGATACATTCATCAATCTTTCCAATTATATCGATATTTTAAACATGGATAGTAACCACAAACAGTAGTTCCCCAAAATTTATGGATTCAAACTTGGACTCTATATATCGTTTAGGACTTGGAACAATAATTCTACGAGTAGAAATCACAAAAACTCTTGCTGAAAACCGGCTAGCATGAACCTGATCTAATGAAAAAGGAACCAAAACGGAGCGCAGGTTTCATCCCGGCTTCGTCAATAAGGACTGCGCCTTTGTCTTTCTTCTGCAACATTTACTCTGATCGCCCTCCCGTCGATACTCTGCAGGCACAAGCCAACTCAAGTAAGACGGTATTTAACTCGTATTAAAACATCTATAGATGAATACCCTAAACCCACGCCCGTTGGGCGAAATCAGACAACTTAAGAATTTGGTTTATCTTTACATGCACGACGCATCTCATTTGCCTAAAAAAACCGTATATGAAGGTGGAAAATGTAAACACTTAATACCTGTCCATCGAGTGCACCAATGGCATCATTCATTTCGCTTTCACTGGCCATTGTTACAAAGCCAAAACCACGGGATCGTCCAGTTTCTCTGTCAAAGACTACTCGAGCCTCCACAACGCTACCATGTTCACTGAAAATCTGCTCCAGTTGAGGAGTATCCACATTCCATGGGAGGTTACCAACATAGATTCTAAAAGCAGACCCAAATGAACGGGGTGGGCGTTCTTGGCGTGTTCCTCTTGGGGCAGCCCTATTGACAGTCAAGAGCCTTCCATTTAAATCCTGTTCAAAGTATAAGACCACAAAAAATTAGAAGCAAAGAACCCTTAAAGTTAAAACATGCTATAAAATCCTTTTATTAATATGTGATATAACAGTATGGAAACATTGAGGGCAAACACTTGAAAAATATTCTTATTCATATGCACCCAGAAGTCGAACAAGAGCCAGAGGTTGATTGGAACCTACGAGCACCATGCTTTACTTCACTACACATTTGGGGAACCTACTAAGCACTTCTCATGACACATGCAAGAAAGCAGATATGGAAAAAATTTCAAGAGTTTCACCAAAAATGTTCCATGATGCGTTTCATACCTAACCTTTGCCAAGGGAATGACGGAATTGATTTGGCTACGTGCAATGCCAGACATTGGCAACATCATAGGGCTTGGATTTATGCATTTATCTCAACTTATTTGGGCAACGAGGTAGCTGTAGATACTTTACCTCGGTGAGGTCTTCTCTATGTCAAGACTACTTACAAATTTGCTTCTCTCAATCTTAGGACGAATGACCTTGCAGGTCAGATGTAATAATGACAGTTAACATTTACAACGGATTTTCCAATTTTCCACTTTTCATGGATGGAAAATTACAATACATTCTCCTATTACCAGAAGTTATCTAGTACCTCTGAGGATTACCTTCAAGGTTACCACAATCCATACAAGCTAAACAAATATATAACCAATTGCTCATGACTACCTAGCAACGAGCTAAGGGTAAGGGTTCCGCTGTGAAGCTTTCTCGGTTTCCCTAAGTTGGTAGATGTTCCTCCATTACATCATTCGATCCAATGGAGAATAGAAACCAAAGTATCAATGAGAGGAACAAAGGATTTTAGGCACCTGAATATTTGGGTTAAACCACCAGAACCGCGAAACAATACATCATCAACTACTCGCCGCAAACATGGGCCACGTTTAGCCATCACTTCATTCTAGTTTACTTTATCATATCATATCGAAAGGTTCTATCTTCCTCGTATCAAGTCTTATTTAATTTCACATTCACATTCAGGCATAAAAATATACAAATCAAAATCACCAAAGAACCAACATCAAGTTTCAAGAAGCGAAATTTATAAGCGACTTACATAACGACTGTAGAGTTCCACGGCCTTATCAGCTTCCTCAACAGTGCTCATAGTCACAAATCCAAACCCGCGACTCTGATCAGTGTCCCTGTTGTAAATAACCTACGAACAACAAAACAGAAACATAGAAACCTCAAACATCCGAACACCATCAGAACCGAAAGACACAAACTTTTCACGAAACAAATCAAAAGAAATTCAAAGCCTCACCTCAGCAACCTCGACAATTCCAGCCCTCTCAAAAAGCTCAGCCAATTTCTGACTATCAACGTCAAAAGGTAAATTCCCAACAAACACCTTGGCCTCCTCCGGTGGCTCGACGTTCGACTCCTCCTCTCTCTCCTCAAAGACCCCTCCTTCCTCGCTGCCCTCCGCGCCGTCAATGGTGAGCGTGTTGTCCTCTTGTCCCCAGTCCGAGGTCTGGGCCACGAAGGCGACGACGGAGGAGAAGTGGGGTTTGTTCCCGATGGACAGCGGCGGCGAGAAGAACGAGGAAGGAGTGTAGGAGAGGTGGAGCTTGATGGGTTTGGAGGGAATTGAGAGAAATGGGTTGGTGGTTTTGGCGGCGGAGAGGTAAGGGAGGGAGACTAGGCATGAATCCGCCATTGATAAGGTCTTGAATATATTGGAAGTTGCAGAAGAAGCCATAGCCATTTTTTTTGTGGGAGAGGAGAGGAGAGGAGAGGAGATAGGGAGAGAGATTGAAAGGGTTTTAGGAGGAGAGGTGTGAGAGGATAAGGGTCGAGGAAGAGGTGCTAGAGTAGTAGGAAAGGAAAGAGGGGTTATTGGGAAAAAAGAAGAGAGCGAGAGAGAGATTTTGTTTTATGGGCTTTGAGATGTTGAAGCATATGTTGTAAAACCCAATATCCAACTTGTGATGAACTTGTAGGTTGAATTAAAAACCCAATAGGCCTAGAAACAACATTAATCTATGTTAAATTTCTCGAAGGTTTCGACAAAAAAAAAAGTTCTCGAAGGTTTCTAAGAAGTAAGGCCATCTCTAACTGAGGGCTGGCCAGATGGCTCGTTTTAGCCCTCTAGCCCTCCAAGATTCCCTAAGATATTAATATTTTAATGAACAGTACATTGCCATATTTGCCTTCGTCTCCAACCGAGGGCCAAAGGGCCAGAGGGCTCGTTTTAGCCCTGTCACAAAAAACCATCTCCAACCGAGGGCCAAACATAATTTATTATTTAAAAACTACAATTTAAATTCAAATCCAACAGCTAAGTGACGTCAACATGATTTTGCATGTTGTATAAGTTTCATGTTGTTAAATGTTGTTTAAGTTTCATGTTGTTAAATATTTTTTTATGCTGTATAATTTGTATGTTGGTTAATGTTATTTAATGTTGTTTCATGTTACTTAATTTAATTTAATGTTGTATAAATGGCCTAGGAAGTTATAAGAAAAAAATAGAATTGAAAAAAAATATGAAACAAATTTTGTGAAATAGAAGTTATAGGAAAAAATGGAATTTAAAAAAATATGAAACAAATTTTGTAAAATACAAGTGAAAAAAAATATGAAACAAAATTTGATTCATATGAAAAGGAAAACAAGGGAAAAAAAAGAAGTTTAAATTCATATAAAAAAAAAAGTTAATACAACGGCTACTAGCCGTTATATTCAAAAAATTTCAAACTATTAGTGTCGGTTATAACTGACACTAATAGTAATTAAAAAAAAAAAAACCTTTGAATAACTATTACTGTCAGTTATAACCGACAGTATTAAAAATCCTTCTTTAATGCTGTCGGTTATAACCGACAGCAATGGGAAAACTATAAAAAAAAATAGCCAGCCCGGGGCTGGCTGGCTGGCTGGCCGAAAGCAGCCAGCCCTTTGGCCCTTTGGCCCTTTGAAATTCCGTGGGGCCCTCCCAGATTCCCGAGCCCTCTGGCCTAGCCCTCGGTTGGAGACGGTTTTAGAGCTATTTTCAGTCCTCTAGCCCTTTGGACCCTTCGGTTAGAGATGGCCTAAGGCACGAGCTTGGTCTATTTATTTCTTTTTAAATATAAAAAATTTAAAGTGCACAATGAGAATTTTAGAGTTTAATAATAATTCGTTTTATTTATATTTTTTTTTGTGTTGCAATATCTCGTCATTTTGCCAATCATATGTTTCTGTATAAATTGGAAAATTTTGGCTCAATTTTTTAATGAACTATGCCATCAGAGGAAATTGTCAAATTGAAGAGAAAGCCTACAAGGAAAATGGGTGTCCCCCCCAAAAAAAAAATTGAATGTCCAAAAAAAATAAATTCATAAATAGTAAATGAAAAACGTATTCTTAAAAATTTAATAAATTATTTTGGGTGTCAAAAAATGTGTGAAAGCCCTTTCTTCTTAGTGTAAAAATATCGATGTACTAAAAAAAAATCTCTAAAAAAAATAGAAACAACATGAATAGGACCCGCCCAATCATTTGAGTGTGTTTCTGTAGAAGTAATATATTTCTCGGTAGTGATTTTGGTATCTTAGAAGTTTCCTAAAAAGGCCTCAAGTGATTTCCTTATTTTCAACGCCCTAGAAAGAATCATCCTACAATTACATTTGTAAAAGTACTTAAATGATATTAATCCTCATTTAAAGCACTTCTAAGATGCAATAATTTTCTCACTTAGTATTATAATCTAGTGGTATTCATCTTCACTTGTAAGTGAGAGATCTTAGGTTTGATTCTTGCTAAAAATGAATTTGAACGACATTATTGTTAACCCAGTGTAAGGCTAAGTTCAACCCCTTCCCTTTTAATATAGATAATATCGTTTGTTAAAAAAAACGAAATGATTTCTGCCTCCATAGTCATCTTCATAAAATTATCAAATGCTATACTTTCATTTATTTATTTTTAAAAGACGAGAGACTGGACTTGAGATGTACGAGTTGCAATTATTCAATTGAATTACAAACCTCTTACACCAAAAATTCTTATTTGAGCTAAAACAAAATGCTAATTTTATTGCAAAGTTTTCAAGATGTCTTTGAATTTTTTTTTCTTTTTATGTCAATCTACTGACAAATTTTCCACATTCAAGACCACGTGCAATCAAATACCTTCAATTTTCTTGTACAAGTGACAGTGACCATCACATCAATTTTCATGGGTATTTGTCACGTCTCCCAGAACATGGTGCCGGTAATAAACATGTAGAGAAAGTGGCTTTTGTAACATATTTTAGGAATGTGATATCCACACACCTCATTTTACTTCTCAGACATCATTTTAATTTTTAGACGTTAAATTAGATGAATTGAAGAAGATCAACGGATATAAATTAACAAGGGTGTATGAGAAGTAATTTGGGATGTGTGGATAGCACACCCCTATATTTTATACATAATATTTTATAATGTTGATATAAAAGTTAATATTAAATTGTAATGTGATAGATAATTTATAAAAAATCACACAAAGATTCCTTAGCATTTTTCTTCTAAATTTTAGGATTAGATATAATAACAAAAAATAATTACCTGAATAATATGAAAATACTAAGTGCCCATAATGTCCTCACTCCCCACCAATGGTGGGAGTACAGATCCTCTCCAGATCTAAAAAAAGAGAGCTTAAGGATCAAATGATTTAAATCATTGAAAATTGATCAAACAGATACAATTATTATAACTTTTAAAGAAACTTCTTGTTTGTAGTAATTAGATCAAATTTCAACGATCCGGATCATTTGATCTCTAGATTTTGTTTTATAGAACCGGATAGGATATGTACTCCAATGGTGGGATTGGGAAGTGCACCTCATCCTCATTAAGATTTTAATATGATATGAATCATACTGGTGGGCTTCACTCATTAATCCATTATGATTACGACATTAAGAGATTCTTTATATTTAATTTACCATCTCGAATCTTGAATGGTTAGGTCATCTCCAATACTTTGATTATTATAGCCGCCATGCTTTTTTTACTCTAAAATTATAGCTTTTTAAATCTGATCATGGACTGAATAAATCTAAATGAAATCATCAAATAAAATTAAACAAGTGTGTGAGAATAAAAAATACATGTTTATTATTTTCTTTTTAAAAGTAGTATAGAGACATTGATCATAAGATTGTTTTTGGTTCTTCATTGAAAATGAGTTTTTGGTAGGGGTGTGCTATCTCACATCATTTTTGACTTTATATACACATTCTTAATTTGCGGCCTGATGAACTAAATTAAAGTAGATCAAATAATAAAAATTAACAAAAAGATATGAGAGAATTTTGAAGCATAGTTTACACTATGTCAAGTTGAACATTTTGAAGCATTGTTTTTTTTTTTTTCAAATTTATTACTATTATTAAGAAGATGTGGAAGAATTCGAAATTATTCAATAAATTAGATGAGGGGGAAATTTCGAACTTGAAATGCATGAGTGGAAAGCACGAGAGAACCATGTCGAGGGATAATCAAATGAAAAACGTAAGTTAGTCAACAATAGGGGCCAGTCTATGCAATCATGGTGTTAGGACGATGGTAAGGCGATATGAATGGTAAAGTGACATCTGTCTTTAGTGCATGTTGAAGTCGTCCTTCGCTGTCTCAGATAATTTAGTGGGAAATAGGAACGCGGGATATTTGTATAATAAGAGAAACTTTTGTGCTTGCCGCCGTTGAGATCTAAAAAGCTTCTTAATTTGTAGCTGCAATGGAAGGAGAAGAAGGTAACACAAGAAACACCAAAGAAGCTCTGAGCACTGAAGGAGGCCATATAAAGGGTGACCAAGATCGTCAATATGCCCTCCCATCTGCTCATACAATTGGCCACGGTACGTTTTTACTTATAAAATTTAAATTTAAAAAAAAAAACCTCGACAATACGAGAGAATTTTAGCATAATAAGGTCACCTTTATGTTTACTTCGTAAGTTTCCATGCAGAAAATATAAGTTCTACCTGCTAAAATTTGTATCAGGTCTTCTGAAAATCCTATGCTTTTTGTTGTTCTTCGTGTATATGGACGATGGTTTAAAATCGTTCTACTAATTAACCGCCTTGGTAAAATCTTGGGTGAAACCGGTTGTTTGTTACTGGTTACACGGGAGAATTTGTCCCTCTTATGGGGTTTTCTAAAGAAATTTATAACTTTAATTTGGTGTTTTTTATTTTCTATTTATTTCCAAGGCATTCATTAAACTGGATTCTTGAAAACTAAACAGATTCATGGCAACAAGTTGGGGTGATGCTGGTGACAGCCTTCAACTGTGGATATATATTGAGCTTTTCAAATCTTATGTTGGTGCCTTTGGGATGGACATGGGGGATCATATGCCTTCTGGTTTTTGGGCTCTACAGTGCCTATGCAATCCGGCTTTTGGCTGCTTTTCACTTCATCGATGGCCAAAGGTTCATCAGATACAGAGATCTCATGGGTTTTTTATTTGGTGGGTACAATTTACAACTAGTATACTAACCAAATTTTGACTTTTAGAGTGGACAGCTTTTTTTTTGGCTCGGCCTGGACTGGACTAGTCCAGGGCAGGCGATATTTGGTGAAATCATAAATGTTGGGTCTGAACTTATTAAATAGGACAAAAGTCCGACATATATGTCTTACAAGTCCTATCTAGCGAGTTGTGACTCGCCATATGACATGCTCGTACTGAGTTGCAGTCTTGTCTAATCTCAGCTTCCAAACGAGCCTCCAGTATATATATAAACTTGCTGTCAAAGCAAACAAGGTTACTGATTAGTGTGTGTTTTTTTTCTTGTTTTTAAACAGGCAGAGAGATGTTTTACACCACTTGGGTTTTCCAGTTTTTGACCCTTCTACTTGGAAACATGGGTTTCATTCTACTTGGGGGAAGAGCACTTAAGGTACTTAGTATTCCTAAACTCTAAAACACTATCTATTTAAGTACATGTTTTACTTATGGAAATGAGACTCATAATTATAGGCTTTGCAAACAGGAAATTAACTCCGAATTCAGCGACTCACCATTTCGGCTTCAGTATTTTATCGCCATCACCGGAGTGACCTACTTTGTATTTGCATTCTTCATTCCAACAATGTCTGCAATGAGAAGTTGGCTCGGACCATCTACCGTTATCACCTTCGCTTACATTGTCATGCTCTTGGTGGTGGTGGTTAAAGATGGTAGAAAATCCTCTTCTTTCAGCTCCTTTTGTTCGAATATCTATAATTTCGCTTTGCAACGAACGCTTACTTGCAATGTGATCATTCTCGTGAAGGGAAAGCTAACACCAAGAGAGATTATGCGATCCATGGAAACGAAGCAGACAGAGTACTCAATGCCTTTGGTGCAATTGCAGCTATTATCGTATGCAACTCCTCTGGCTTGCTACTCGAAATACAGGTTTGTTGCTTGTATCTCAAGAAATAGATTTTCTGAATCACCAACAACATAGAAAGATTTAATGATTCTGGTTCGGATATTTGGTTTTTTTCGTATATGCAGTCAACTCTAAGAGATCCTGCAGTAACAAATATGAGGAAAGCTTTAAATCTGCAGTTTACTGTGGGGCTGGTGCTTTACTATGGAGTGAGCATAGTCGGATACTGGGCTTATGGCTCAACTGTATCCGAATACCTTCCTCAAGAGCTAAGCGGTCCTAAATCGGTTAAGGTTCTCATAAACGCCACTGTTTTTCTACAATCCGTGGTCTCCCAACATGTAAGTCATAGCAATTGTACACTTGTTTTCTCGTTCTTTTAAGTTTTTCTGTAAGTCTTCACTTTATGATCTACTGAACTTCCAATTTCTACGTCAAAAACAGATGTTTGTGGCACCAATCCACGAGTTCCTTGATACCAAGTTCCTCAAACTCGATAAGAGCATGAACTCGAAAGGAAATTTGAAGCGCAGATTGTACGTTCGAGCCCTCCTCTTTGCAGTAAATACATTTGTAACAGCAGCTTTTCCTTTCATGGGGGACTTCGTAAACTTGTTTGGATCCTTTACACTCGTTCCTCTAACTTTCGTGTTCCCGAGCATGATTTTCATCAAGGTAATTTCGCTCTACCTCACCATATTTCGGCCCAAGTTAATGATCGTAAAACTTAAGTTGCTATATATTTGGCTTTCTTCTCTCACAGGTGAAGGGAAAGGCAGCTTCACCGGAGAAGATTTTATGGCATTGGTTCAACATCGTTATTTTTTCGCTCCTTGCCGTCGTCACCACAATTTCTGCCGTTCGATTGATAGTCAACAATGTTAAGGAATACAATTTCTTTGCAAATACATGAAGTACATGTAAATATATTGCTGCGATAATCTTATTTCAAAAAAAAAAAAAAAAAAAAAGTTCCACGTAAATATATTGCTGTAATATTTATACAATGGCGACATGATACATCGAATATAAACCACAAACTTTTCAATGCCAACATGGTATATCAAATACAAACTCGAGATCCGTAAAAGTTATGACCCGAGCCAGTTAACCAGATACATTTAGCACATCCATCACAACCATATAGCCCATATCTAGTCTTGGGTAGCCATTACAAAGAGCACGGTCAAACACAATGTGACTACGTGACATTTCTGTCTTCCATGCTTGCATTGTCTTTGCACGTGTGGATCTGGACGGGGGTCTCCGGTATACATACTGCAGTAATACGTAGACATCCCTTATAATCCAAGTGTCTTTATCTGCGTATTGTAGTTTAGAAGCTTGTGCTTACCTTGCCTTTGAGATCTAACGTTTGAAGCGAAGTTTCTGCCTGCTAGCGCTCTTCTTCATAGCGAATACATTCGTGACAGCAGCTATTCCTTTCATAGGGGACTTTATGAACTTGTTTGGATCGCTTTCACTCGTTCCTCTTAACTTTCTTGTTCCCAAGCATGGCTTTCATCAAGGTATTTTGCTATACTGCATTCCGTTCCCATCTCTTCGTCATCTAGGCTGCATCATAATCAGGACAAAGTAAAAGATGATATAACATAACTTGCTCAACTTTTGGTTCAACATTGTATTTTTTTCTGTCCTTGCAGTTTTAACACCAACTACTGCACTTCGCTTGATAGTCAACAATGTTCAGCAATATAATTTTTTGCAAATAATGAAGGCAAGTAAATTATTGCAGATGGTATATGCCTTTCAAACGATATAGTAGACAAACATAGGATGATTTTATTGCGGCATGTTCCTTTTTCCAAAATATATTGTGCAAGTAACTACATTCCTGTCGACTACTTTTCTATTTCCCGCGGTGATGATATTACATTCACAATTTTCCAATGTAACATAAAGATGCTTAGAATTCACATATCCATACCAGAAGGCATCACTTTTGAGGCTTGGTAGCAGGCTCTTATGATTCAGAAAGTGGTAGAAGTAATTTACCTTGGTATCTGCCCTTGGTTACTATATTTAAGCAGGGTCGGCCATGAGATAAGGTGACAAGAGACCACATAGGGCGCTCACCAGTTAGAGTATTTGCTTCAAATCAACTGAGGATTTAACGGATTGAGAAATGGAAGCTTAAGCAGGGCCGAGGAGAACAAAATCTGGCAGCACGCTGTTCATTTATTGGTTGGTTGCTTTCAAATTCTTGCATTCAACTTGGACCTGGGGATTGACAATCATCTCAAGCCGCATACATCCGGTCTTACATTAGCAACAGTAAGTGTGCATTATAATGCAGTTGAATGAGAATGGCATGTAAGAATTCTACCATTGAATTGCTGTCTAAGTCTGGTTTCATTTGAGCTGCATGACCTTTGCTAATTTCAACCCAACTGTACCCAGGAAACTTAAGTGCATTTCTCCCGTTCATTGCTTCCCGCACCTTTCTGGCTTCATCCCATAGTTCTTTTGACGCATAGATACTTGAAAGTAGCGTATAATTTCCAGTATTCCCAGGTTCTAAATGAAGAGTTGCTCAGCAGCACTTTCTGCAATCTCGACATTTCCATATGTTCTACATGCTGCAAGAAGGGCTCCTAGTGCTCCTGGCTGTGGCCCCACAGGCATTCCCTTGACCAAATCGCTGGCCTCATTGAGTTTCCCAGCACGTCCCAGCATATCAACTATGCAAGTAAAGTGATCAGCATCAGGCTCAATGTTGTAATCTTTAACCATGCTTTCCCAGTACCCCATTCCATCTTCAACGAGTCCTGCACGGCAACAGGCAGTGAATACCCCAACAAATGTGAAGCGATCAGGTTCAATATTTTCTGCCAGCATTCTCTGGAAGATCTCGAGCGCTTTGACCCCATGACCATTTGAAGCAAGACCTGTGATTATTGCACTGTAAGAGAAAACCTTTAGGGGGATCTTTTCAAATATGGCGCATGCCTCTCCCATATTCCCACATTTGGCATGCATGTCAACTAGTGCAGTAAGCACTTGTTCATTCTGTTCTATGCCTTCTCTATCCACATATGATCCAATCCAGTTTGCCAGATCTGCAGGACCCAACTGTGCCAATGCAGAGATCACAGCTGTCATGGTGAAAGCATCTGGCTTTACTCGTGCCTTTTCCATTCTCCGGAAAAGTGAAAGTGCTTCACTTGGCCTCCCATTTTGGGAATACCCTGAAATCATAGCCTTCTCCAGCAAATCAATCCCCTCTCAGGCATTTCATCAAAGAGGGCCTTCGCCTTATCCATAAAACCGCTTTTCGTATACCCCACCAACATTGTAGTCCAATAAACAGCATTCCTGTCAGGCATCCTATCAAACACAGCCCTTGCCGAAACCAGATCCCCACTATTTACACAACCCACGACCATGGCGTTCCAAGATATCACATTTTTCCCCAGCATCCCCTCAAACAAAACCAAAGCACACCCCATATCAACCCCGCCTCTTGCATGAGCCCCCAAAACCGCATTGTAAGAAACAACATCTCTCTCACACATTTCATCAAACAGCTTCCGCGCCATCCCCACCTCCCCACATTACCCATACATATCAACCAAAGCGTTCGAAACCGGAACACAAAACCCAAAACCCATTTTCACAATGCGTCCATGGACCTCAGTCCCGCCACAAAGATCACTCAACGCAGCGCACGAATTCAGCACAAAAGGGTACGTATAGTTATCAGGTCTAATTCCAACCGAAACCATCTGCGAATACAAACTCACCGCCTCGAAACAGAGCACGGAGATCTTAGAGAAAGCCCTGACGGCGTGGTTGAAGAGAGAGAGAGAGAGATTTGGGTTGGGGAAAGAGGTGAAGACGAGGTGGGTGTAGCGAGGCGAGGCGCAGAGAGAGGCGTAGAAAGAGATGAGAGTGGAGGCTAAGGAGGCGTTCCGGTGAAGGTTTGATCGGACTATGTGGGCGTGGATTTGTTTGAGGTGGCAGAGCGAAGCGCAGGATTTGAGCAGAGAGGCAGCTCCGTCTGCTTTTTTGTTGGGATGGTTTTTGGCGACCTTTGCTGCTTTCATCTCACTCTCTTTCAAAAAAAATTTAAGTTAGTTGTGGCGCGTTTACGTAAGGTAATCGGAATCAAGAAACGAAATTGAATTTCGATTACGGTATACTTCGGTGTTTATTAAATCTGGAGGAATCAAAATTTAGTGGGTCCCACACAAATTTTGGAATCCAATTCCAATATTTGGCTGATTTGGATTCCTAAGATAAAGGAGGTATTTGGATTCCGGATGGCTTGGGGAATCAGAATGCTAACTTTTTTTCCTTTATGCCCTCACCTACTTTCATTATTTCCAAGATTATCCTTTTAACCCTAGACTATTATTTCCCTTTTCACGCTACCATATCTTAACGTTCTGGAACGGTTAGTTGATTAATTCAGTCGACCTAGAGTAAATTCAATCGATCTAAAGTAACTTTGTAAATACATGCAGAATCATTTTGTTACTCAATGCAGAATCAGTTTGTTACTTCATGCAGAATCAGTTTGTTACTCAATGCAGAATCAATTTGTTACTTCATGCAGAATCAGTTTGTTACTTCATGCAGAATCAGTTTGTTACTCAATGCAGAATCAGTTTGTTACTATTATATACTATATCAAATTTTATTAAAAAAAAAGTATATAAAATATTTGATTTGGGACAAGGGCATTTTAGTAATCATACTGGTTTATATTCCGATTCTGCTGAATTAGTAAACAGCTTTATGGAATTGTATTCCGATTCCAGACAGTTTTAGTAAACAATTTCAACAAGAATCTGATTCTGATTCCACCTCATTTCAATTCCTCCTCAATCAAATTCCTCCTCAATCCGATTCCTCTCAATTTGATTACGGATTAGTAAACGCGCCATTGGTTTAACGGCTATTTCTCTATCCTTTCCGGTAGAAAAAGAGGGTAAGGTTGTTGTGACAGGATAACACCAAACCTGTTGGAACAAACTCATGCTAACCCACAGGAAATATATCAAATGTAATGCAAGAACAAAATATATAAGAACACCAAGAATTTAATGAGGTTCCTCAACAGTCAGTGTAACTGGAGTACGTTCTCAACAAATAGAGAAAAAAATATTATGAATAATTTATTCTCTATACAAAGCTCAAAGCTATTACAACAACTACTTGGTGAGTGATTACTAACCAAAGAGAATAGCACATTATTCTTCTTTTTCTGCTCTTAGTTTTCTGTTTTCTGCAGCTACCTTTGCTCTCTCAAAGATTGGCTTCTAAAACAGAAAATGGTGTACTCTCTCTCTCTCTCACATTCGGATGATAACTTCATCCATACAAAAGCACACAATAAAAAATCTAAAGTAAGGGAATAATCATTCTTTTACAAACATCATCATGACCTTTCTTTTTTTTATACAACAAACATAATCATTTGTCTTCTCATAATGATGTTTCCACGTCATTATGTCATTCATTTTTTATTATATGCTCTAATTCAACAAAGGTCATTTCGGTCTTTATCACGGGGATGAATTCATTTCTTTTATTTTTGGATGATGCTAGAGAGACTAAATTTTATAAATCAAATGACATGAAAGTTGATGATTAGATTATTACTTAAGTATTGATTAATGTGCTTATTTCTGATTGGTAATAAGTTATTTAGTTTGCAAATTTAATCTACTTAACATTACCCTTTATTTTTTATTTGAACTCTGCTTATTTTCAGTGGATACGTTTTATCCTGCCTAGTTTGTTTTACACACGGCCCTATTTTGTCACCAGATACTTGATGTTTGCAAATTTAGTCTACCTAGCATTACGATTTAAATCATAAACGTCTATTTTGTCTTACATCGTCACTGTGTTAAGGTTTAAATTAATGAAAATAAACTTTAAGTGTTTAAATGAATGAAAATTAAGGATATCTAAAACATGCCTGCAAATTATATCAAAAGAAAAGTAGATCTTGAAATAAAATTAAAACTTTCATGACTTAAATGTCGGCAGACAACAATACAGAAAAAACTAGAGAATACGAAATTGTAATATAATTTGCCAGTGAATACATCAAGCATCTTTACACCATTCATGAACATATGAAATGAGCATAAACAATACTACAATATATGTATTTACTCCAGTTGCTTGGAACATTGCATCCGTCCTGTTATGCCCGAGTTCAAATCCTTTGGTTTTTCATAATTTAGACAAATTTGTAATATCGTCTTATCAAGCAAGAAGAGTGTAGAGAGGGTTTGCCTGCATGAACAAATAGTTCCCACCAAACAAGTCATTCATGTGAGCCTGCCCATGCTTCAGTCTCTTCAAAGCTTTGCTCCATGAAACTTTAATCCTAGTGAAAATCCTAGCTCTTTTCCTCAGGAACCTTCTCAAGCCCTGAATCCGAACCCTTGGCCGCCTTCGCCCGGTTAGCTTACTGATCTTGGACCAACCCCTTATGTTCTTGAATTTAATTGCTGTGTTTTGCTGATCTGTTTTTTCATCAAACAGACCTTCGTTTCTCAGTCTTTGGTAAGCAAGTTGTGAGATCGATGCCATTTCGAAGTAGAAAAGGTTTAGAGCTAGATGGAGTCAGCTTTTTGTTTTTTTTCTTTCTGTGGATTTAGATGTCTCTCAAATGATGTAAGTGACAAATTTAAAGTGAAGAAAGTAGTTTGCAATGAATGCAGCTGAAATATTTGGTAATGGTAGTTTAAACTCTGATAATTTAAGGTTCCTAGTGTCACGGGCCATGTGTTAAAAACAAAGAAAATGCCCAAGACATCATATATCTAAGCCCATGAAGCCATGTCTTCATGGAAGCTTCCGGAACGTCCCGGAGAAATCAAGAACGTGGCGGAGCATTCAAGATAATCTTAGGGCATTCCGGAACATTCCACACAAGTGTACATATTTAAGCCTCACCTAGAATAATCTAGATTAGGCAAGTTGTATCTAGAACTATGCTAGATATTTTTGGATGTAAGTAGGGGATTCTAGAACCCTCCATTGAGGAGGTGACTTAGGCCTATAAATAGGAGGTAAGGCCATTTGGCCAAACCATCCAAGAATTGTAAGCAATTGTAAAGTTCTCTTAACTTTCAATACAAAGCTTCCTTTCTCCCATCTTCTAAGTGATCTTAGCATTCTCCAAGCTATCTTAGCTTTCTTTGTGATTCGATCCGGGGAAGCGAGGCTTTGAAGGCTTACTTAGCTTGTTCATCGAGGTATTCAAGTCTAAGTGCCGCACGGGCGGAAGGCTTAAAGAGTCATCCCGTGACAGCTGGTATCAGAGCCAAGCTCGTGAATCACTTGAAGGAAAGTAGGATATGGCAAGTGGAGAGATGGTGTCCGGAGTCTCCGATCTAAGGGAGCGTACTGCCGAGGTCCAAGACGTTGCCAAGAGCAAGCCAAAGTTAAAGGACTTGCAAGCATCGATGGAGACCATGGAAGAGCGACTCGAGAAGGTGGAACGAACCATACTCGAGTTCGATACTCGACTTGATGAGGACGTTGTCGACAAGGAGGAAATCCAAACCATGGTGGACAATGGTAAGGATGAACTGCGTGGCTTGGTGGAAGGGTGATGTGAAAAATAAGTTAACACACAAAATTAAACCCTCTTTTTATCAAATGTAGTAAAGTATGTAAGTATGGATCGTTCTAGGCCGGGGATTAGGAGGGATTGCTAAACACTTGAAAACTGACTTAAAAACATAAAAACAAAATTTAAAACACTAAACTAGACTCAAAGAATGAAAAACTATACTTTAAAATACTTAAACAAACATAAAACTCAAAACAGCAACCTAATGACTCAAAACTGCCTAAAAACCACTTTCTGGGCAGTTTTGAGAACCTAACAAGAACTTGGACGAAGTTGGATGAAAACTTGAATCAAAACACTTAGAAACACAAAATCAAAACACTTTCTAACTAATCTAAGACTTCAAAATAAAGGGGGATTTGTTTTGGACGAAAATTGAAAACAAAACAGAAACTTTAAAACAAAACAGATTGTAAAACGTTTTTGGATGAAAAGGATGGATAAAAGGCTAGTTAGGAGGTTCTTCTCCACACATGACACACTTGCAAACAAAATGATTTTCAGTTTGTTCTTTCAATAAATTATGAAACTCAACACCCCAAGTTAATTAGATACGCTTAAATTAACCTTCAAGTTCTCCTTAAGTTAATGAATTGGATGGAAAAGCACATACAACAATTCAAAGCATTCCTCAAAGGTTCCTTACGTGATGAGCACAATAAAGATACAATCAAGAATCATGAAGCACAATGAGAACTATAAGTGTTGACGAGGCATTCGTTACTATGATGAGCATGAAACTAGTGCCAAGAATTCATTCAACGCGATCGTTTTCAAGCGACCTTCACTACTTGTGATTATAAGATTGTAACTATTAGGTGAAACTCCCTCATAATCTAGCATCATATTCATGCATGAAAACTAAGCGTGCACTCTCAATCAACATACACAAATAAGTTATCAATCAAGTAGATGAACGAATTGAATCCGCAACTTATGAAATAACAACTGAATGTAATCAAATCATATTGCAAGCATGTACATGGTTTCGAATCACCCCCTAACTAAGAGGGGTTTAGTTCCTCATACTCACAAAGCAAAGATACATAAAATTAGACATTAAAATCAAAGGAAAGAAAACACCTAAAATGCTCCAACTTGGTAGCAAGTGCATCCAAGATTCCTCCTTTCCCTTGCTTGCGGCATGAAGCTTGTGGACAGATTTTTGGGTGGATTTATGGTGTAGAATGGATGGGGAATTTTGTGGAAGGGTTTAGGGTGAGAGTGGAAGAGTGTTTGATGGTTGGGGAGTGGTAGAGAACTAGGCAAAGAGGGTGGAAGAAGGTGGAGTGGCTGTTATGTTTTCTCTAGGCACTAGAATGGTGTTTTTGGGTGTTTTTTGCTTCCTAGGGTGTGTATGGACGAATTTCTGTGATAAAATGATGAATATGGGGGATTGTCCTTTGGCCAAGGGGTGTAAACATGTATTTATAGGCCCCAAAAACCTTAGAAAATCAGGTTAGGTTAAGGATGAAATGCATGGCAATTTGTGTGTGTGGTGTGCAATGGTCCAAGGGTGAAAATGAAGTGATGATGCAAAGTGTGAAGGGTAAAATGGAGTGGTCTTGTAGCTAGGGGGCATGAATGATTGTGTACATTGCATAGAGATGGAAAGGGAGGTGAAAATGTGTCAATAAATGGGTCAAAGGTGCAGCAACATGTGGTACACAAGGCATGAGATTCCAAATGTGAATGATGGAGCATCAATTGGTGCATGTAATGGATGTAAATGTTGTCTAAAATCTAATGAGTGAAGGGAACAAGAGGTATCAAGCAATTGAGTGTAATAATTAAATGAATTGAAGCATGAAATTAGAAATTATGTAGGGGACAAGAGTGATCAAGCATGGCATGGAATCCAA